AGAGGGAGTAGGAGGATGGGCAAAGCGGGATGATACTGCTTGCGTGTCATCCCAGCTACACTGGAGGCGAATGTGGGAAGATGGTGAGTTCAAGGCTAGCCTGAGTAATTTAGCAAGACCTCATTTGCAAAAAAAAAAAAATACAGGAAAACTGGACACACAGCAGGTCATGGATGACTGGATTCCAGAGCAAGAAACAAAATGCTAAGGAGCACAGCATTGGGGCAGTCTAAACATAGGTCTGTGTGTCAGTCAGTGCGTACCAGAGAAACAGATTTAATACAAAATAGACAAATACTTGAGAACTTACAAGATTTGCTTACAATGGCTGCCCACAGAGTCAGGAGTGGAAAAATGCACAAGGTCTGGCTGCACGCTGGACATCTGAAGGACTCAGCTGAAGGCCTGGAGCTCACTGCAGTGTTTTGTGCAAGTTGGTATCAGGAGCCCAAAGGGTCTGTCATGGGAGGTGGAAGGGTCGGTACTAGAATCCGAAGAGTCTGCTCTGGAATCCAGGAGGTGACATCCAAGGGGAAGGCAAAGACTGGAGCTCCTCGGAAGAAGCAGACACGAGTCTTCCTTCTTCATTTCTTTTTATTCCATTCAGGTGGACGCCCATGGGTTGGTGTCACGAGCACCCAGGGTGGGTCTTCCGTCTCCAGTAACCCTCAGCCACACCCAGAACTGTGCTGACCCAGTCCAGTTGGGTGTTTCTTACTCCGGTTCACACAGTTAACTGCCACAGACTGTGTGTTCCATAATAAGATTACACCACTACTAAATATACTTAATTTGAAATATGGAAAGATAAATTAATGATCTTAGAAGGAAAAAAATTCAAGTATTTAGGGAAAAAGGATCACGATGCCTTTAACTTATTCTCCAGTAATTCAGAAACTAATAATAATAATATTGTGATGTAGTTTAAAAAGAACACACACAAAATTTAGTAATTGACTCTACAGGAGTTTATTGTACTCTTCCTGCATGTTTTCTATAGGTTTCAATTTTTTCAGAATAAAAATTGAAAAAACTTAAATAGCTAATACTCATGGCAGTGTAATTAGTTAGGCTGCTGTGATGGTTTGTGTTCAGATGCCCCCCAAAGCCTAGTGTGGACAAGGTGGGACTTTCTTTTTCAGAGGTGGGCGAATCTGGAATGTGTGATGCTGGGGTTAAGGGTGTGTGGTTACTAAACCACTACACGTGAGTGACTGGTTTGGCACTGCCCTGATCCCAGCAGTCCGCATAAGATAAAAGCATAAAAGCGGCAGAAAGATGCTGTTAAGCTCCCTTGTTTCCTTTGCTGTCTTGTGGACACCATGTTTTTTCTCCTCTGCAAGGCCTGTTTGCCATCATCCCTGCCTCGGAGCCAGCTGAGTAGGGACTGAAACCTCTATGAACTGTAAGCCAAATAAATCCCTTCCCCTCCAACTTTGGTTGCCAGGTATTTTGTCTCAGCAACAAGAGAAAAGTAACTAATAGGTGCTTTACCATGTCCCTAGAGGAAATGTAAATTGGCACGTTATCTTTTAAAATTGGGAATAAATTCTAAGAAGCTTTAAGATATATATATTCTTAATTTAGAGAACTGGAAATGTATTGTGATTCTTCATTATTATATTAACCTGTCCTGGTACCCAGAGGAGTGGGCTAGGACTCTGTATGGATACCAAATCTGTGGACATCCAAGTCCCTTATATAAAATGGCATTGTACTGCACCTCACATACAAATGTCCCCTCTAAGCTTTATCCCTAGATCATTATGGTATCTAAACAATACAAATGCTGTGTAAGTCATTCTTCTACAGTATCGTTTAGACAAAAAAACAAAGGAGAAAAGAGTTGTACTATAAGTTCAGTATTTTAAAACTTATTTCTGATGTACAGTTAACTGAATCTCTAGGTGTGGGTTCCCTGGATACAAAGGGCTGCTTTGTATAGAGGGAAAAAGCACCCAGAACAATATTCACTGTTTTATTATTTAAAGTGCTAACAATCTAGAAAACAAAAGTAAATTGAATTATGGAACATTTGTTAATAAAGCAACGGATGATCATCAAAAACATGTTTTTTTATCCATGTTGAAAAGTATTTTTGTTATATTACACATAAAAGCCAATACTGAATCATATAATTATTTTACATCTCAATGTTGTAAAATAAAATTTTCATTAAAACACCAAGAGTAGCCGTTCATGGTTATAGATCATGATTCGTCATGGTCATGCCCCTATTATTTTTCACGTTTTACAAATTTGCTTTTTCTTAGATAAGGGAGAGGCGTCCTGAGCTGAGGCCTGGGAGGTATCTGACCACACAGCACATGACCACTGCCCAGATCCTCCCTGCTTCCCTGTCCTCCTCAGCTCCATGGTGACAAACCTGTAAATACTTACCCCTTCCTCCGGAAGAGAGGGCAGACATGCCACTCCGGGGTTTCTGGAGTGAAAGACAGCTACTCATGGGAACTAACCCTGGAGCCTTTCTGCAAAATCCATGTGAATTTATTTCTTGCTCTTTTCTGTACTAGTTTTAATGTAAGAATAATGCGATTGTGCAGATTCTAGCAGCATACTGATTTATAAAACAAAGTTGTCAAGAGATTTCCAAGTTTCTATCTCAAGGGTCTCTAAACCCAAGTGATGACAAAAAAAGTAGAACTAAAATAAAGTTAGAAATGGTGATTGCATGGTTTTCTGCTTTTAAAATGATTTTATTTCAAATGGACATGAATGAATTGAAGTGTGTGTGCTTTCTGTGGAAAGGAATTTTCAGGGCAGCACAATGGCATGGTGTTAATTGTTCAGAAAGGAAGACGCTATTGGTACATGCAGGAAGGAAGTGCAGAGGGTTCAGGAAAGGCTGGAACCCTGCTTTCATGGAGAATGGTGAGATATTCCCGAGGTTTATGACAAATTGGGGCATGTGAAAACCTGTTTGGATCTTCGGGACATGTTAAGAAATCCTACTGTGAATCTCAGATAAAAAGAAAGTTTTGCTCGAATCCAGAGTGCATGGGAGGTGATGATAGAGTAGTGGAAAACAAAGGCCAGAGGAATGCATGTGTGAGATTTACAGGGGCCCGACAGGAGTCAGACTTGAGGGCCTCTTTGTTCACAATCCGTAAGAAAAGATACAGACTGGTTAATTCCGCTGGCAATACGGAGCTGAGGGAGGCATAGCCCTTCAACAAAGAGCACAATTCAGTGTTTAGGGTTATTCCCTTGGCTTCAAAATTCTCAGAGATTCACTGATACTAGTTTAGCAACCCTCAGATCTGGGGGAGAAGTAAGTGTGAAAGACACAATCAAAAGTTATTTTGGCACAAGAAGGAGGATTATATGAGTGGAATCTGTATTCCTGGATTGCTTTGGATGATGCCAAGATCTGGTACTTAATTCTAGACAAGGCAGTTTTTCCCAGCCTCCCATTTTAGTTATGTCAAATGCAAAGAGCAGAAAATGGGAACAACACACAGATACTTTTCATGTGATGGAACACTTTACCTTTAGCTTGTTGGTGGACTGGCCAGGAAGTGGGAACTGGCACACTCCGAGTTCCACACCATAAATGAAAAACCCAGTTTCATCCTTCCTTCCAGCTCTATGGAGGCTCAAAAGAAATGCTGTCTTTCTCTAGAAGAAGAAATGAGATACTTCCAGCTGTGTGCTCTTAAGTTATGGATTTATTTCCCTGATACAGAGGGAATGGGCAATTCTTACAGGAAGAAAGGCCACCATTATTCAAATTTAACTTCTGTTGTTCCCACTACTTTTTCTTTCCAAACAAAACAGAATTTGGGTTAACTATAGTATTTTTTCCATTTCGATATCTGAAGAGGAAATTGCACATACTATTTGAATTTGGAAGATGTCATTCTGACTAAACTTTGCTGTTCAATGAACTCAGCTAGCAGGATCAGGTTGCCAAAGGTAATATTTTATGGGGGTCAGGGGCATCCTAAGAGAGGAAGAGTTTTAGGATCTGGCTTGTGGTTTGGAGTTCACTGTGTAGGTGGGGAACAGCATCCGAAGTCATTTGACCTAACAGTTTTAGAATGTGGATGACAAAGTCACCCAAAGCAGTTTTAGGGCTGAAGGTGGAGGGTGAGACTTGCCAGAAGGTTACAAAGAGGCACCAAACCAGAGGAAATGAGCTGATTTCAGGCAGGCAGATGACAGGCACCCAGGAGGATAGCAGCCTCAAAAGGCTCAAAGCAGGGTTTCCTTGAGGACAGTGGCCCTTGGATAGTTCTGCACGAATTTATTCTCTGTCTGCTGGACCCACTATGCAGGGCTTTCCCAAACACAAGCAGCAGCACTAGAAAGCTTCAGAATCCTAGAGAGCATGGGCTGTAGGAGAACATCTTCTGAGTAGATGAAGGTTTCCACTGGACCAGTCCTTCCTAGGACCTCAGTAGAAAATACCAGGAGCTCAAAGTGACTGAGCAAAGCTTGAAGACCAGGACAAGGGCCACACTGTGTATCTGTAAAAATTTAGAAGAGCCTGCAACCCTGAGAGTCTTAGGAAAGACCAGGAAATGTGAATCAGACCACCTGCGATGGAAGGAAGCAAAGGAACTAAGAGCAATTTCGTCAAATTTTTAGCAAACAATCATCCTCTTAGTGCTCTACAGACTTGAGAAGTGAGATTCCATTTCCAGTGAAAGAGCAGATTCCTAAGTGAGTCCTCATGTACATCATCTAACCTTTCTGTGAAGTTTTTGGTTTCTGAACCCTGTTTTTCTCTTAAAGAAAAGTTAGGGTTCCCTTCAGTGAAGCCTCACATGATCTAGAGAACACACATCGTTTTGTAAAAGTGGCCTTCTTCTCTGGCCATCAACATGTAAGATGAGGGGCAGGGACGCTGCAGCCCTTGGAAAGCCCAGGGGAGGGGAAGGAGCGGACTCGAAAAGCAAAGGCTGAGTGATCGTCAGGCGGTGGGCCAAGGAGAGGGAGCGGTACTGCCAACTCTCCACTCCCCCAACAAGCGCTCCAATGTTCCAGCTGCTGCCAAGACACATTTTATTTTTCTGACATGAAATATGTACATAATTCCAGCCTGGATTTTTAGAACACAAGAGGGTTGACTCTGTTTATGCGTCCCTTTACTCCCACCCAGCAAAAACACTGGCCTCCAGCCTGGGGGTGACTACAGGATCTAACACACAGAACCAGGAAGCCAGGAAGTAGATGGCTGAGTAAATATCTGCCCAACACTGACACATCTGTCTTAACCAGGTGGGCACTGTGGTGAGGACCTGGACTGGGAGGCGCAGGCAAGGCAGCTGGGTAGAACAGCAGGAGCCACTTTGTGACGGCCTTTTGCTTGAGATTTGATGTGTTTGTCTTGTCTCCACATCCGGATTTCTGGCATCACCCTCCAGACTCAAATCTTGGTGGCTTAAGCAGGGAAACAGTAGACTATTGAAGTAAGATCTGTTTCAGGATATTTCACATGTGTACCCAAAGCACATGGCGTACCATCTTCGTGTTCAGGTATGGTTCATGTAAGAAAGGGAGCTCAATACAAATTGAAGACATTGCATCATGAAAAATATTTGAGATTAACAGACTAACATCACTAAGAGCTTGTGGCGCAGCAAGGCACAGAGGCACTGACAGAGGAAGCCACCCTGCTATGCACGCTGAACATGGTACTTCATTTCCTTCATCCTCCTGTGGACACATGTCAGCTTGGAGGAACACTCAAAACACTATTAATTCAGCTTAATTTTGGCTACTTGTCCTTCAGTCTCAGTCAAAGAGCTATGGAAAGCATAGTTATCACAATCTCTTCTTGTGCATGGCTCCTACACTGTGCTGCTCTTTTATCCTCTTGGGTTGTGAGGCAAAGGGGACTGTTTGTTACTTTGATCAGTAGCTTTGGTGCAGGAATGGGCACACATTCCTCCAGTGCTCCAGGGTAGACCTTATCTGAGAAGGTGCTTGGCATTTATGGACCCCAGGGCTCAAGTGGATATGTTGTCTTTGGGCTTAGAGCAAGCTCAGTCTAATTCCCTAACCTTAGAAGCATTAGTCTCTCCTGTCTGGTTATTTCTTATCCAACTAGCGAATACTATGAAAGTGAAAGCTGAAATAGCAAACCATCTTTGAAATACTTCCTCTGAATCTCTTTTCCTCTTACTCCTCTTTCTTTTCTCTCTTATTCTATAACTCTATTAGTGTTCCTGCCATCTTGGAAGGGAGGCATCCCATGCCTGTCACAGTATGTACTTTCATTGCCTCAGGTGATCTCAGAATCTGGACTCCTTCTCATAGGTTGTAACTCAAAAGAGTTAATCACTGCAAGAATCGATACTGAAGAGCATGGCTATGTGGGGATACAACCTTAACTCAGTAAGACAAATGTTTTTCTGAAGAAAACTGTCTGGCAGAATGCTGTGTGTTTTGAATCATTACCTGTTGTCACCATGCGTCAGTGTGCACCTCAGGCTGTGGTTGCTCCCCTGCCGTCTCCTCCATGCTTGGCTCCTCTTCTTTCTGTTCAGACATCCAGGACCGTCACTATGTTGTCCATACACCTCATGCTGTGGGGTTCATTCCCGAGTCCTGAGTGCGAGCTGCACAGTTGCCAAACAGAAGCCTCACTGAATCAAGATGGCATCCCACAGCAGAGGCCACCTCTGGGCCAGAACATTCCAACAACTTCGGGGCTTCTCAGTCAACATGGAGGACCTCTGGAGAGCGTAGCCAAATGTAGCAGATGCTTATTGGCTGGATGGTTTAATACTCTCTCTCATATATCATGAGCGCCCATTTGAAATGTGCTTTCCCTACATGATACCACGTGTAACATCCAGATCCACATTCACACCCGGAGGGCACTGTCATGGACTGGGACGAGAACAACACTCTCCAGAAGGCCAGGACCATAGCTCAGCACCATGCATATGGCACATGCTCTGAAACACAGTGTAAAGGCTGAAACAAAAAGTGTGAATAATGCACTCTACCTTCTACCTCCCCAGGACCAGGACCTGAGGCCAAAAATGGAAGTTCTTATGAATATTATTTACTCAGTAGATATGAGTGGCTATATGGATCTCATATCTCCTTATTACTCTCCACATTTCATGTGTAATAACATTTGATGGGGGAATAAGTGTTTTTACTGTATAAATTTATTTAAAAGAAATTCTATTTGATAGAATTATGACCCCATCCCTTGCCAACACAGGACTCTTCAAATTAAAAAGAAAAAAAAAGCTTTGTAAATTGAAGTAAAATACAAATTTTCTCCCAAATTCCTTGAATGAAAATACAGATATTCATTGCAGGAGGAGCAGAGTATATTATAGAATTTGGGTGCGGTAGGCTGTTTGAAAGACACTAAGAAGACTCACAATGAGTTTTTAAAGAGTACTCAACCTTGGGCAAAACCTACTTCTCAGCTGCTGTTCAGTAAATAGCATGAATTTTGTCCACATGTATAGGAAAGGACCATGACTCGTGCACCAGGAAGAGCCCCGGACTGGGGAATGTGAAGCTCCTGTCCCCAGACTCACAGTTTGTGGCTCACTCTGTGCCCCTGTCATGTTTATTTCCTTCTCCAGTGCCTGGTTCCCATTTGCAAAAGCAGATTAGACTGGATGGTCCTTTGGAGCTGCTGTCATCCTAACATGCATTTTCCCAGAGTTAGGCAGAGGGTAATGACAAAGGATTGCATAATGGCACAGCATTCTCTGGAGATTAAAGATGCCTACTGCAGGACGTCTGATTTCTAGTCTTGCTGCAATTGTTTCCTTGCATGAGACCATTTTGTTACACTGCTCACAGCTGGTATGTGACTCTCCCCTCACACTCCAACAGACTGGTCTACAGTGAAACATCCCAGCTCCACCCTAACATCACCACCACCCATATTTTCTGTCCTGGAACTTCTCAGCTTTGAGCAGCTCCCTGACTCCCAGCTAGGTATTTGTTTAGTTGGTGTGTTCCGTCATCTGGGAATTCTCGCTTAGGACTCTGTTCTGCTTTCCTCCTCTCTCCGGGCTCTGTGATCTTGGCTCTTCTCGGATTACTCCTTCACATGGCTTCTTACCTTTCACTCATTTTACCCTTTCCTCGTTTGTTTTGTGTTGTGTCAGAATATTTAAACCCGGGGCTGGTATTCTTGGATCATTTCTAACAAATCTTTGTTTACTTTTTCCTGTCTTCTTTCTCTCCTTATTAGATCCTCTGTCTTTCCTGTAGCTCCATTCTGGCAGCAATCGCAGAACATTTATCAATGCAGGTTTAAGGTTTTTCTCTTTGTCTACTGGAAGCTTCCTTCTTACTCAAAGTCTCCTATTTCCAGGTGGTGGCATCTTCTATGTGCTATCTCTTTAGCTTCTGAAACCTCCCCACAAATGGGAGCAGCAGCCTATGCACCAGTGTGGTAGCAAGGTTTCTAAATGACCTCTTCCTTCTTGAAATAACCCTACTTAATCCCCCAGATTTGTGTATATGGTGATATAGCACTCTTGTGACTTTGTGTTATGCTATATGGTGCAGTATTAGGATTCTACATAGGAAGAAAATGAACACACAGTCACACATACAGACAGGGAGGGAGAGGGAGAGTGGAAGGGGAGGCAGGCCGAGATGATGAGGGGTCAGCTCGGATGCTTTTGGGGGCAGGAAGTCCCATGTCTTGCCATCCACAAGTTAGAGACCGGAAACCGGTGGTGTGGTTCTCAGTTCCGGCCGGACAGTGACACAGTTCCTGGGGAGGGCAGAAGAATGGTGCCCCTGCTCCACAGTCAGGCGAGACAGTGAGTTTTCCTTTTCCACCCTTACCGTTTGGGGCCCGGGATGAAGCCCTCTGTCCTGATTGCCACATGGTCTCCACAACTCAAGCGCTAATACTGCCCGGAAACACTGCCAGAGACACACCCAGAAACAACACTTAACGTGGGCACTCCGTTTCCCAGTCAAAGGAGACACAGCCCTGGCCATCATGGGAGATCTGCTCTTTGCACAGAAAGATTATCTACGTGGGCCAGAAATAACCAAGGGCCCTAAAAGCGGGGCGCTTTTTCCAGCTCTCCAGCAGGAGGCCAGAGGAGTGAAAGCAGGAGGTGCCGCTGGCACCAAAGGACAGGACAGGCGCCCAGGGACGGGACAGCGCCGGGCTGCATCGGAGGCTAGCAGCCAGCCAGGACGGGGCCTCGCTGCAAGCACCAGCAACCCGGGGGCCTGGATTTGGCACCGCTCTGCGAGAGCCCAGGAGCCTTTCCCCCTCAAGAGCCGGGGGACACAGCCCTGCCTGGCCACACGTGCTGGGTCCCGTGAGACCGAGCGGAGGACCCGTTGCCAGTGCCCGGACCTCTGTCCCCAGAAATGAGAGATGACGTGGTTCTTACCTGGAACAGGTGAGTTTATGGGCATGTCCGGAACAACAGCAGACAGCTGGTCGGCCGGGGCGCAGAGCTCCGGGCCGGTCCTCCGCCTCGGGGCAGTGCACGCGGAAGCGGGCGGGCTCATCCGGAGGAAATGGGCGGGGCTCATCTGGAGGAAGTGGGCGGGGTCATCCGGCGGAAGGCCACGCGTTTCTCATGCACTAGGGAAGGCGATGTCACCAAGTAACCCTTTGATTATTCCGAGGTAGAAATGCTCAGTGCTTGATCTGGGAAGAGATCTCCAGGAAGAGTCTGGCATATTGGTGCCCTTGTTCGGTTCCCAGGTCAGCAGGGAAGTCCTGAATTCACGCAGCCACGGAGCAGGGCACGGAGGTGGAAGGTGCTGATCACAGACCACGCAGGGCCCTCCACGCAGTTGTAAAAGCCACTGAAATGAGTAAAGCCTATTTGCAAAGGAGGCTGGATGATAGCAAAGTCAAATATGCTACATGGGTTGACAGACAGATTCTGAGAAGTTGGTTCAGAGTACCTGTAAAATAGACACTGCCTTTGGAAGTGAGGGACGTTAAGTTGGTTAGGAAAATGACTGCATACTTAGGTAGGCTAGGCATGCTGTATCTTTTTTTTTTTTTTTTTTGCTTTTTTGATCTGAGTGTGGTGATAAATTCTCATTATTTATTTATTTATATGACATTTTTTAAGTTTTCAGAATTGCTGTTAACACATGAATTGTACAAAATCAAGGTTTCACTGTGATATTTGCATAGATGCCTGCGTCCTGCAGCACCGTGTCCAACATCCCTTCTCCCACCACCCCCTTCTTCCACACCCTTGCCAAGGCCCTAGGAACCTCTCTTCTACTTTCCACGTTCTTCTTTTTGAGTTTCCACATATGAGAAAAAACATACATACTTGTCTTTCTGTGTAGGGCATATCTTTTCTTTTTTCCTGCCTGGGTACAAAATAAAGAATAAACCATGAAACTTAAAGTAAAATATATATTTTAATTCTGATAATTTAGATTTGAAAATATTGAACACAAATAGAGGAAGACGGAAGAGGAGGAAGAAGAAGAATTTGCTGCAAGAATTTTTCATATCAAATTGCTCTGAAACTTGGAAATTCTTAAAAGGGATTTGACACTAAAATACTGATGATAAATAGATTCAAGCACCTACTTTGTGAACAAAATCAGAATTTTTCAATTTAGCAAACATTATCAGCACAAATGAAGATCCACGGATGTTAGTCAATGTCTCCATTGGCGGTTTTACCTAACTACTTTTCTGTAACCCTATATCAGAATTTTGTAATACTTGCAAAGTTTGTCTTATGTAAATGAACTTTTTAGAAATTATAATGACTATGATGATTCTTTTGTGGTGCTGAAGATGAAATGGGGGTCTCACCCATTCCAGGAAAGTGCTCTGTCATTGAGCTGCATCCTTCCTGAAACTTATGTTTATAAAAATAGAAACAATATAATACTGTGCACATCTAGCTCCATTTCTAGCCAGGGCCTGGCAAGTACAAAGAGTACCAGAAGCCATCTCTGAATACAGAGCTTCGCAGAGCTCAGACTGAGACATCAGTGATTGTTCAGGAAATCACCGAAGTCCCTGCTGCTGGGCAAGGCAGGGTGTGACTGTCCCATGTTTGACCACACCAGCCCTCTGGTGCAGGCCCTGGTGCTTCTGTGCCCTGCTCCAGGAGCAGAGCGTGAGTGCGATTGTGGAGAGGCCTGTAATCACGGATTGACTCTCACTCATCCACACCGGTACTTTTGTGGATCCTCATTCCTCAGTCCAGCAGTGTGGGAGCTCGGGCCTAGTGAGAGGCAGGCATCACCAGTGCCAGTAAATGAATGCGCTGGAAGGGAAGGCACTGGCACACTTTCCAAACTGGATTAGCTATTTAAGAGTCAGTTGGTGCAAAGCAAAGTCATGCCTTATGTTCTCTTCCACACACACCCAACTCCACATTTCTACATGATTTTGTTGTGTGACACCATTCACCTTGTTAGGACAGAGCATGAGGGCTTTGCCAGATGTAGCTACCTGATTTTGAACTTCTTCCCTTCAGAAACATGGGCCCAGATAACCCTCCTTCCTTTATAAACTAGCCAGTCAAAGGCGTTCTACTACAGCAGCAGCAAACAAGATGGCACTGAGGTTGGTAGTTTAGAGAGGAGTGAGAAGACAGCCGGAGGTCTGACTCCTTCTAGGTCCCTGAGGTGAGAAGGCAGTGATGATGAGGAGATGATCCCTGGTGAAGGAGCAGGCTCAGCTCAGGCTGCTTCTTTTGTGACAGCAACATCACCAACTGGGATGAAAACTGAGACTTCGTACTTTCACACATCTCTGGGTTAAAAGGTCCGTATCTCTCATGGTATCAGCTTGTTGATATCCTCGAGGCAGGACCTTAAAGATGAAGAAACTCTCCTACAGCTAACCAAACCTGACAGGCAGCACAACTTCAGTCAGAAGTGCTGCTGTGAAAATTAGATAATCTTCATGCATTTTACAGCTTGCTATGTTTTTGTGCATGTTGATTTATTTAACTGACAGTATGAGGTGTCATCATTAGGGTCATCTCCACCAGGAAATAAGGAAACTGAGTGTCAGTTTAGGTAATTTATCCCAAAGTATATCAGCTAGTAACTATGAGAGCTAAACTTAAAAATCTCTTTCCTTTACCTGAAATGATGAAAGACTATTAGAGCAATTGGTCAATCCCCAAATAATTCTTGTCCATCTTAAGTCAGTCACACAGACATAACCAGACAACTGAATTCTGCCCTTCGGTAGGCTCCATTCCCACATCCCCATTAGAAGTTGCCCATGGATTTCATTGGGCAAAAACATCTTTCCTGTATACATTTCAATGGTTAAAGTGTCATGGAATAACGTTCAGTAATAAAATATTAAATATGTATCTGCTTATTGTGTTACACAGAGAGTTCTTTTCAATTTTTTTTAGTGTTAGGGAAGATAAGAGAAATGGGGGAAGACATGATCGATGGTGGGAGAGTTAGGGGAAGGGGAGGCTGGGATTGTGGTTCCAGGAATATGGAGAAACTTGGAGGGCTGCCCAGAATTTGGAATGAGACCGAGGGAGTAAGACACAGAGAAAATAAGGGAGGTGATAAAGACAGACTCAAAGGGTAAGGAGGCCTTGAATGTCAGGACAGGAAGTCTGAAATTGATGGTAGAAGAGCAGAGGACAGAGACTGGCAGGGAAGTGGGGAGAAAAGCTATCACAGCAGCTTGGGAGACTCATCACTGGCAGGAGTTGGGGCGGCCCGGGCTTTCAGGGAATGAGGGACTGCAAGGGAAAGAAGAATTTCCAACTCTCCCGTGCCTTGCAGATATACAAATAAAACACACTAAGGACTATAATGAGGAAATAAATGTCATAAGAATGTTTGATAGCAAATGGGACCTACAGACATGAAGAGATGCCAGCAGTCTCCAGCCAAGAGCAATAAGGGAAAGAAGTTGATCTCAATGACCTCAAAGCTTTGCTCCAGCTTGAATATTCTGTAATTTCCACACTTTGGTTCAATTTATTGAATTCCACTGGTGTCTTGCATCTACTGCCTATGGTGGAGAGTAGGGAGTGGGATGGTGGTCTGAGCTTGAATAAAATCCAGTTTCCTGCCATGAAGAAGTCTTATGTATATTGGGAAGAAGACCCTGCTAGTTGTAGTGCATTCCAGAGTAAATGAAGATCCTTAGAGGATGGGACGTGCAATGGAAGCCCCCAAAGAAGCAGTAATTTGTGTATATGAAGGCCCTGGATTTAGGGAAGGAGCAAGGTGAAGATGTTTACCAGACAGCAAAATCCGTGTCTAAAGGAGTAAGAAACATGCCCTAGAAATGATAATTATGGTAGGCAGAATTCCAGTGTGATTCCAGGTGAGTTGTGTCTTTGTGTGAACCCCTACTTCTGACTGCAGGTGGGACCGATGCTTGTTTCTAGCCAATAAACTATGTCACAGTTGATGGATGCCACTACCACAATTAGGTTATGTTATACAACAAAGGTGAAAAAACAATCACTTCCATGACTGTTGTAAGACCGTACCTTATGAAGCTGGAGAGAGATATTCTGCCTGGCTTTGAAGCAGTAAGTTGCCATTTGTGAGAAAGCCACTTGGCAAGGAATTAGGAGGATCCCTCTGAGCTGAGAGCATCCCCTAGCTAAAGGCAACAGTAGGCAGAACCTCCATCCTACCAGTGCAAGGTCTGCTCTCCACCAACAAGCAGATGAGCTTGGAAATGGACCTTGAATTCTAGATCGGAGGACATACGGATTGTAGTTATATGAGACCCTGAGCTGGACTCCAGATCAAGAAATGTTGAGATGAGAAAGGAAGTAATTTTTCAAGCCAGTTTGTAGAGATTTTTTTCCATAGCAATAGGAAACTAACACTCCAAGCCGTCAGATCGGGTGGGGCTTTGAGTATAGTTGGGGTTTGGTGGGAGAAAAAGCTGAAAAGATGGCTTGGGACAAGATGAGGTAGTCTTGTCTAAACTGGAATCTGTCATGGATGTAGAATGGTCCAAATTTGAACTTACTGGCATTCTCATGGGCAGGACAACACTGGTGACACCGTGTGAGCTGCTGTGTTGTGTGATGACAGTGTGGCATGACTGGGAAAGTGAGAATATGGAAATGTGCAGGAGCTGGCTCTGTGCCACTGCCACTTACCTGACCTGGTGGCTGTCAGCTAAGAGCGATTGCTCTGATTTCCCATACAGCTACTGTCTCTTTTCATAGCTATTAAAGGCTGGTTAAGTACACTAGAAGGCAAAAGGCAGGAGTCAATGATAAGTGGACAGCACTTCTGTAGGATCCTGGAAGTTTGACACAGTTCATAGACGCCTTAAATCCATCTCTCCTAATGCTTTCTATGATTTCTAACTCTTGCCTACAAAATTTATAAGTGTGCCCATACTTGAATCCCTCTACTAACAAATCTCTCATGACTGTGGGAAGATTTGATAGTTAGATCATGCCAGTCATGACAAGAATTTTTTCAGATGAGCTTTATTTGATTGAATTGAAATTATCCGACATAATTCTGCTAATAATAGC